GTAGTCAAACCGGAATAAAGCCTTCTTTTTTCTCGGGAGCAAGAAGAAACCCGATCCTTTCCACGGTTCAGGATCAAACCGTTACAACGTTCTTTTTCAGGCTCAAGAGCAACCCCTACAAAGGATATGGAAATTTGAGAATAAACTTACAAACTCTCTCAAAGAGTGGGTATACAAATATTTGCTCACAAATTTGTAAGAAAAAATTCTTACAAATAAAAGCCCTCAAATTGGCTAAAAGAAATAAAATTGGAAGCTCAAATATCTCTCAAATAAAAAATTTCCCTCAAGAATATAGAACAAAAATTGAATCTTTGAAGAGAGATTAACAATGTAGAAATTTGGAGAGAAAATTGGGAGAAAATGAGTTGTATAAAATGTTGAAGGAAGTGGGGTTTAAATAGGTGAGGAAAAGTTGAAAATAAATTTGAAATCGAAATTGAATTTGGGCCATTAGATCTTTCATGATTGAAAATCAAAGGTTGAGATTTAGTTGAATAAAATAATAAAATAATAATAAAATATTATATATGGATGTGTCAAACGGCTATATATATAATATAATATATATATATATATATATATATATATATATATATATTTAAAACAAATATACATTTAATGTGATGTGACATATATATATATTTTTTCTTTACTTTTTATTATTATTTTTTTCTTCTTTTAATTTACCCTCAACGGTAACTTTGTTTTTTTTTCTTTTCCTTTTTTTTTAACACCATGCCACATGTCAACATTTTGTTGTACCACTTAGTTGATTCAGCTGCCACGTCATCCATCTCGGGTAATTTTTCTTCCAACTTCTTTCAATCATAATTTCTTCGTTTGAGCTCCGATTTGGGTAATTCAAAATTCGTTGAAATCATCGTATCGAGCTCTACGCTGTGGACACTTTAAAACACTAAAATTATCAATAAACAAAATATGTATTATCAGTAAATCATATAATATTATTGAAGCTCATAATAAATTTATGTTTTATAACAATAATTCTTACACACCAAAAACAATTAATACTAAGTGTGTTTGTTATCATCAAAACATTAATTAATTAAATTAATTAACCGAGATTAAGGGCCAAAAAGCCAACAATCTCCCCCTTTTTGATGATTACAAACCACTCAAGAAAAATGTAATCAAAGTGGTGTGTGAGATAACATGAAGCACAATCAAGGCAAACATAAATTTAATTTTAACAAAATTAATCACAATTTCATTTATTTTTTTTATTATCTCTCCCCCTTTTGGAATTAATCAAAAAGGACAAGTAAGACAAAATAAAGAAACATGGAAGCTCCCTTTTTTTAAGCAATTTAGCACTCCCTCTTAAAAGGGACAAAAATACATTTAACAAGTTTTTATAAAACTCCCCCTATCAAGATGCCTTCTAAATAAAAATTAACAAGAAAATCAAGAAGCATCAATTATAAGCAATTCTAAAATAAATTTTACTTTGAAGAAGCATAAATTTAATTCTAAAATAAATTGGAATTAATCAAGAAGCATTAAATTAATTCTCTTCAAAGTAAAATTTATTTTAGAATTGCTCCCCCTAAATAGATAAACATTATGCATAAGAGGGGTAAAGTTTCAACATACCTCAATAAGCTTTAACGTCAACACATTTAGCCTTTAATCTTTGTCAAGCTTAGTAGAGGTGCTTATGAGAGTTTTGCAATTTTAGATTAATTGACTTTAAACAATTTTAGCAAATTCTCCCAGCATACTCAATGTCAAAATCACTATGTATACTCTTTAAAAAACACATTAACAATAAAAAACAATATGTAGAAACAATTTCATCAAATTCACAAGTATTATAACTCCCCCTAAAGATATGCATTCTCCT